TTGGACTGTGGGCAAGATGCGACGAAGGTTGTGGTGGTGGAGGCATGGGGGTAGTGATAGGGGGGAGTATGGTCGATGAGAATGAGGAAATACTCCTCCTCTGAGTCGTGGGTGAAATTACCATAACGTAGACTTCTGAGCTTAGCAGAAGAAAGCAAACGTATATTCTAACGCCACGAAAAACGCTCTAATGAAGACTTGGTATTTTGGGGAGATTTGCAAATGACTATCAAGTGTGTTGGTGACAATATGAATTTTGGACAAATATTGTTGATTTTTGTATGATTTTTCTATGCAAATTCGCATGTAAACTTTAGAGGTCAGCCGAGGAAAGCAATCATATATTCCAACGACACAAAAAACGTATCGATGAAAAACTTGTTTTGTACATGGTCAACGCGATATGCTGGTGACAATATGGAAATTCTAAGGAAATTCTGGGAAATAGTTGTTGATTGGTTTTTGTACATTCCTATCCGCATTTGTTTGTGAGCTTCTGGAGAGTGAGAATATATAGGGAGAATGATTTTGTTTTTATTGCAGTTATGAAAGTAGACGCATCTTTCGAGATCGGTTGGTTGGGCCGAAGCACCGGGCGAAATTCGATGCGATTTTACGACAAGTTGCGGAGGAACGCCTGGGCGGGTTGATTCGGGTTGAAGATTTCTCGTTTGATTATAAAGAGGAGGGGAAATGGTCGACGATGGTTGTGAGGAAAGGAGAGGAAGGGCGAGGTGAGGGGGCATTGGGAGAATTAGGATTGAGGAGAGTCGTGTTTTGTAGGGAATATTTTTCACCGGATTTGTTAAATCTGATTTTTTATTACTTTCGTAGCCGTGCGTGGTTTTTAGTTGAGAATTGCGATAGACTTGAAGGTTCATGGCATCTCCGGGTGGAATGAGTTTTCTCGACAATTTTTTAAAAAATTTGGTTATGGTTTTACGTTTTTTCGTTAACATTTCATGAAATAAGATAATTATGTATTTTATTCATTATTTTGTATTTAGTATTATACATGAAATGAAATAAGTTTAATTTTATAACCGACCTATTTGAAAGTTCAGACGTTCAAGTCAACTGCTGCTGTACTTGGTTGGATTTGCCAACTCAGAGTTCTCCTATTTTACATCACTTTTTTCGCGGTTTTTAGTGATAACCAGCGATACGACGAATTAGAAGGATTACTTGTGTTTAGGGATGTTGGCTCGATTGTCTAAGGACGATTACAAGGATATGATTTCCAATTTCATTGCGACCTACGAAAGAGATGTTGGGCCTTTGGGTATTACTCTGGTGGAAGAGGTGAATCTCGTGGCGCGTGACGGCGATATTGTTGTTGTTGTCGTAGGTGTTGGAGAATCTCGCTTGTCTTGATCGAGCATTAGGGAGTGGTGATGTGGGATCGGCGGGATGTGCATGCGTGCTAATGATTGGACGATCGGGGGGCGGTAGAAGAGATAGTGTATCGCTGATGGCCAATTCAATGGGATATGAGTTGATTTCGCTGACGCCCGTCGGAGTGGATAAACGAGCGTGTTTGAAAGGCTTGAAAACGGCGGTAGTAAAAGCGGGCGGAGCGGAGGGAAAGAAAATAATAATTTTTGTCGAAGATTACCAAGTTATGGGACCATGTGGGGAATTTTTCGCGGTAGTGAATTCGTTGGTGGCGAATGGTGACACGGAGGAGTTGATTTTTGGGGAGGAGAGGGAAATGGTGTACTCACAAATAAAGGAGGATTATCAGATTGAGATGCGCCCGGGCGAGAGCATTCAGGAGTATCTTTCCCGACGCACGCGGAAGAATTTGAAGTTGGTATTGTCATTGGACCCGACCCATCCTCATTTCCATGATGTTACGTCGATGAACCCGGGCTTATTCACGCGGTCTATGGTGTTGTGGAACTGGACGAGTTGGAGCCGCAAGTAAGGATTTTTTTTCGGGAAATTACGAGTTTCTGTCGGAGATTGGTAAATTTCTTCGAGAATTTTACGAATACTTATATTTGGTTTTTTCTTGTTTTGTAGGATTTTGATTAGCACTTCATTTTAGGACGTCTTTGGTGGTGACTTCGAGAAATCTGAGAAATATTCTGGAGGAAAACGGGCGGCCTATGGTCTCCTATCATAAGTCACTTTGTGAGGTTACGGTTGATATTCACGAGATGCTGAACTGTTGCCCAAAATATCTCTCGACGCTGTTGAAGTTGTGGACGGCAGGATTTAAAAACAATTCGGAGAAAATAGGGAAGGAAAAGGAAAGATTGAATCGGGGGTTGGCGAAATTGAAAGATATGCATGAAACGGTTGATCGATTGACGAAGGAAGCCCGGGTGAAGGAGGAGGAGTTGACGAGGAAAGAGAGATTGGCGAATGAGGCCTTGGAGGGAATTGAAAAAGGCTTGGAGGAAGCTGCGAAGTATAAGGCTGAAGTGGCGATTTTGGGAGAAAAAACTAAAAATGAGGAAATGAATTCGAAAAGGAAGCACGCGAGGATAGAGGAGGAGTTGGCGGAAATACGACCGGTGTTGGAAGAAGCGCGGAGGGCGGTTGGGTCGATCAAACAGGATAACTTGAATGAAATTAGAGCGTTGAAAATGCCTCCGGAAGCGATACATGACGTACTTTATGGGGTATTGATATTAATGGGAAGCGCGGATGAGAGTTGGAATGCGATGAGGAAATTCTTGTCGGGGTCAGGGGTGATTCAGAAGGTGTTGAATTTTGACGCGAGGAAGGTATCGGAGAAAACGCGGGGGGAGGTGGAGAAGTTATTGGAAAGTAGAGGGAGGTCTTTCGAAGATGCAGTGATTAGAAGGGCGAGTTTGGCTGCGGCACCCTTGGCGCTCTGGGTTAAAGCGATTGTTAGGTGAGGAATGTATTTGAGATTATTCACTTTTCCAAGTTTGACTGCTCCGAAAAAATGCTCGAAATTCATGTTTGGGTACTTTTACTATTGGGAATTGGAAAAAAAAGAAAAGTTGAAATTTGTATGGTGCAGAAATCAGAGGAGTGGATCTTGAGTTCTGAGAAAATTGAATTTTTGCTCAAAAAAACAGGAGAAATGTATTTTTCCGCGTAGATATTCTCGAGTGGTGGAGAAGGTAGCTCCGATGGAAGCACAACTGCACGAAGCTGAGGAGGATCTGCATGCGGCTCGGTTGCGGTTACATCAATGCGAAGAGGAAAGGGAAAAGATATCAGCAAAAGTGAAAGAAATGCAGAAGGAATTCGCGGCTAGAACAGGTGAGGGGGAAACTTGTTTGTTTTTTCAGGTTTTTGTTTTTTTTCAGGAGAAGCGGAAGCACTTCGTAACGGCGTTGAGCAAGCTAGAGGGACGCTGGCTAAAGCGGTGGGGCTTTTGGAGGGTTTGGAGGAGGAGAAGAAGCGATGGGAGGGGGAATGTGATAGAATTACCGTTAA